GTGGAGTGGAGGTGCAAGCAGACTGCAGCTGCAGGGGGGTGGGGGTGGGGGGTGGGGTCTTCTAACAAAGACGTGTCTACGTTTGACTTTGATTTTCTTCTAAAGTCACAAATTTCTGAGTCAGCTTCAGGTGTTTGTAGTTAATCATAAATATCTGCTAAATTTAACCAGCTGTTTCACTGCCTTTAAATTACACAATATTTTTAGTGGAGAGACTTGTCAGTTTGGTTAAATAAAAAAACTGTAAAACTATTTTTTTTTCTGTGCAGAGAACTTCCTGTGCTGTATTTTTTAAAATAAATATATCAAAGCTCCTCAGCTGAAAACAGTAAAATGCCAGAAAAGCTGTTTAAAACCACTTTCCTCATAAAGACTTCTGTCCTGAGAACACTAAACTGTAACTTTAATAAGGTCATGTAGACACTATACTCCTATTTAAATGAAAATGTTTAACTTGTCAGCAGAAAGCTTATGGATGGGTTTTGATTGTTGCTCTCTAGTTCAATGAGGAAGTTTTACTCAAGCAGCTCCTGTTTACTTGTAGCTATGTAGTAAATATTATATACAGAAGAATATAGCCTACTTATTCAATTACATTTTATTGAGATTTTTTTTTGGACAACCAAAATGTTTTGCAGACAACCAGATTTTGTCAACAGGTTGTCTACCTCTGATCACACAACTCCTTCAGGACCTTAGGGTTCCTCATGCWGGTGATACAGAACACCAACAAAGTTGTTCTTTGTGACAACCTCAACATTTCCTGATCATTAAATCAAAAGTCGTTCATAATCCTGTGCAGARGGACAGACAGACAAACCAACTGTACCAAATACATAACTTCCTTGGTGGAGCTAATTAAAATATTAAAATAAATGATTTATGGATCCTAAACATGTCTGAAGGCTCACAATTCAGGAACTATTAAAATGTCAGCATTTTTTTTCCTACAGAAAAATAATTTAAATGTTCCAATTTTATTTTATTTTATTTATTTATTTATTTTTAGTTCTGCAACCTGTTTAAAAGTATTACACACATTATATCATATATTACTGTCAGTAAATTGTGTTATATTATGTGGACCAGTGCTCCTGTCTGTCTGAACCAGGATACTTTTGAAAAAAAAATCCTTTAGAATTCTAAAATCTGCCCAAGAATTAACCATAAATAGGCAAAAAAAAAATAAAAATAAAAAGCAGTGAGGTTGGGACTGAACCCAGTTTTGTTTTATTAACATACCTCAGTGACTCATAGGACATGAAGCCAGAGTTRGTGGGGTCACTGAGAGACAGAAACTTGTTGATTTCACTCTGTTTGTCCTCTGGAAGGGATCGCAGTTTGCTGAGGATGCTGTCTATGTTGGCTTTGGGAAACTTGTGCCAAGAAAACACAAATTTACATTGATTACAAACAGTATAGCATTCATAACAGCATCACAGGAGAAAGTGACTGCTTCATATCCCTGAGTGAAGAAACAAATATTCTCTCATGGTTTTTTACCTCCTCAGAGTGTTGCTCCATGTAGTTCAGAGTGTACTCATCAGCTTTCAGAAGCTGGAAGTTTGTCCCATTGAGACAGACTGTAGCTCCAACATACAGATCCTGGGCTGTGAAGTACTCAGAGGACTTGCTGTTCTTCACACGGCGCCGACCCAGAAACTTCCCCCCAACTACACCTGGTGGATGAAGTGAGAAATTTATYAACGTCAAGTAGACGATTAGTTTCCTGTCAATAAAAAACATGTTCACTATGCTAACAGTTTCTTTGTGTTCCCACTGTATCTTAAAACTGTAATTATTTTCCAGGTGAAAAAACATTTTAATTATCAGATTTAAATGGTTGGATCTTATTTTAAACTCATTCTTAAAAGTACTGAACCTGCTGCACAGCCTGCCCTGTAAAAATGAACAAATATTAAAGTGCATTATTGGAAACATACATCTATAAACTACTCGTCATCTGTTTCCAGAGTATTCTGGAACTGGAAAGAGAATCTGACATCTTAATGTTTACCCTGAGAGTCACAGATTTGCATCACTTGTCCAAAAGTGAATTTCTGTTGCAGCTAGCATCCAAAGGTTTCTACCTGAGTTCCTRTGAGGCTGTTCGAACACACTCATGGAGTCATCAGAGAGGTAGAAGGAGATGATGAACACCCTCTCTTTGTCCACTGGATCTGTGGTCATCATCTTGGCTCGGAAGGTCAGCGTATTACTGTTTAGGCCACATCTGTAGGGACGTATACACACTAACATCAACATGTACACACACAGATACAAAAAGTTTAAAATGCAATCTGACTGCAACTTGGATTATAAATCCTCCCACCTGTCTTTCACCATAAATTTGTGAAAATCTTTCTGTGGGCGTTTGGGCACCAAGCCCTGGCAGGAGCTCAAAGAGTCCTCCTCTGAGCCAAAGCCATTGTAGGGGGGCACCAGCTTCGAGGGCTTTGGGGCTGGGGGGTCTTTGTACTGCACTGGGGTGAAGTCCTCTGAGAGGAAGATGGAGAGAGAAAAGACAAAACACTKAATAAAAAGAAAGGAATTTGGGAGGAGAGCTGAAACAATCAGGGGGAAGCAGGTAATCCATCCCTGACCTGACCCAGGACTGAGTCAGACTGGACCCTCCATCACCGGGCTTGTTAATACKTGCTTTTACTTTACCACTGTGACTAATGCAAGAAGCTGCTACATCAGGAACACCTTGGATTTCTACAGATGGGACCTGTTTTCTTCATATTTAGAGACCTGGTGGACTGAGTGTCAGAGAGGTCCTGACTCCTTTCATCAGGTTTAATATTTACAGAACAAAAACACAAAGCCTCTCAGTTGTGCTTTTCACTCTTTTATATACTTCATCTTTGAAGAAAAAACCTGTTCCTTTGCTTTTAGAAACCATCTGTTAGTAGATATGGTAATAGTGATCACTAACGTGCGCTCTTACTGACCCCAAGTGTTTATATTAAAGCAATGCAGCAGATTAGTCCACCGCTGTATCAGGACCACTTTACAGATGAAGAAAAATGAAGAGAAAATCTCCAAATTTGCAAGAAAAAACTCAAACTTCATCTCTAATTCTTTTACCTCTCCTTCTGGCCATGCTATGTTTGTTCATAAAATGATTAAAAAGTGCTGAAATCATCCTGTATTGATGTTTCATGGTTTTAAATATTCTGTCATCAGCGTAGAACAGATCTGAAGTTTCTACATGTTTTAGGTTTTAAGGTTTTAGTTAAAGTTTTAGTTTTTAAACAAGAGCAAATGAAAGATGCTCGAGGTACAGTGAAAGCAGGTGGAATTGCCCTTTAGCCCTTTAGCCATTTAGCCATCCCTGAAAACTTCAAAATGTACACATTTTTTCTTTTTTTCTGACATTACCATGTCATGTACCATGTACATAAGATTTCCTGTTTATTTCTAGAAAATCTTTGAAATTAATCTCAAAATTTGAGGTTTTWTGGTGGAGATTTGCTCCTTTTTTCATCTGCAAAGTGGCCCTGATCCACCATTGTYTGTTAGTGTTCATTTGAATGTAAAATCATTTTAGAAATAAAAGATAGATACTAAGGTCACAGCGGTCAGCAAAACATAAAGAAATAAAATAAAATAAAACATAAGAAGAAAAAAACTGCACATAAAGTGTTACACATGGAGTTTTTTTAAATTTTTTATTTATTTAACCTTTATTTATGCAGGTAAACTGTTTGAGAACCACTTCTCATTTACAAACATGACCTGACATGATGCACTGAGTGCATTGTAATATACAAACCTACAGATTCAGACAGAGTAAAGTGATTGTACATTTTAATCGTGATTAATCACGATTAAAATTTTTAATCTATGCCCATGCAGCACCAAAATTAACCAGAGTTAACTCGATTATTTCACAGCCCTAGCAAAATTTCTTACAAACTAATATTTTAAAGTAATTTGCTTGTATTAAAAAGAAATCAATTTTAACCCACAGACACAACAYGAAATACCAGACACCACGCAGAAGCTGAATTCAGAGTGGGTGTAGCACCACAGAATGGTCCTTATTGAAATAAACTAAAATAAAAAACATCTCAGATAATTTTTTTAGGTGTTAACCCATGTCGATTTTTGTAGTTCTTACTTTGCCCCTTCATGTTCAAAAATTAATGTTTTTAACAGGTTTAGCTAAAATTAGRAGGCCAGTTTACAGCACAGGAACCATGACTGATTAATGAGTCCATTAAAAGCATAAAACATCCAGTGGGTGAATATTTTTATAAGAACTGCATGTCTTACCCATGCTGTATTTAGAACGGTAGTGCTGTTTAGTGAACTCGTCACAGTCAGTGATGATCATTCTCCTGCCCCACACATTCAACTCAGCGCCAACAAGCAGATCAGGGTCCTTATAAAACTRCTCACTGACAGCTCCTGTCTGGAAACAAGGACAAAAACACCGGTTCAGATGGGCTTAAAAACAAGAACATGTTAAAACTGTTTTCTGCACATAATACTGGCAGAGAAAACTGAGTCCACAAGCACTGAACTGGCCTGGATCCCTCCACAACAAAATGTAGACAACTTTGAAACAACAAAATGTGACACAGCCTCGACTGCTGTACACAACAAGCRGTGTTTACAAGAAAAAATAGATAAAACAACTCAAATTAAGTACTTTATTATTGTTAATGCTAGAACATGTGAGGTTGTGCTTGCAGGGAGCAGGCAAAAGGTTCAAAAAGCAAAAAATAAATTTAAGAAAAAGAGGCTGACGAGGCAGCTTCTAACACTCACAATCAATCTCTCAGAAGAAACATGAACACCAAGAGCTAGAAGGACAACCACACAGTGATCAGACACCAGACTGTGGACAAAACACCAAATATAAAGGGAAACTAAACCAGACAAGAAGAAACACCTGGAGGAGACACAAGAGGAAACAGGTGAGTGTGGGRGGGGCTGCAGGGCAGAGACACACAGGGAAACACTGGAACACTAAAGCAAACACACACAGAGCATGGCAAAACATTTTTGAGTGTRCTGAGATAAAAGGACAATTTTCCAACATGACAAAAACTTGCTGCAGTGATGTGTTTGCTTGTGTGTSTTTGTGTGTGTTAGCAAAATATCTCCTGAATCCATCCATCCAGTCATTATCTACCACTTGGTACAGAGTCGGGTCGCGGGAGAAGCAGATTGTGTAGAGACCCAGACCTCGTGTGCAGMTTTTTTGGGTTAAAACTTTAACATCTTTTAGAGTTGAACATATTTTACAGATATTTACTGTAGAGGTAACCCTGGTGAAATATTCATTTCAATTTTTTGTCTTTGATTTTATTTTTTACACTTATAAGAAGAAAATCATTTTAAAGTGTTTTTATTTTCTTTAAGTGAATATAAGTCCTATATATATATGTTTTTTCATTTAATCTTCTATTAGAGGTTATGATCAATATAA